TATTTTGAAGAAGGCAAGAAACTGAAGTTAAAAATGTCTATATCGACACAAGTCTGCTTTTGACTTTAATAATACTTTTTTCCTATCCAGTTTTTTTAAAGGTAAATATCAAGTTTGTTTTATTCAAAACTCTCTAAACACTTTCCATTTGTGTATCTTTTATCTATTTTACGTGTTGTCTCTTTTCTGACAGCTTTCTACTCCTTTGATATTGGTAACAAAATAGAAAAGATCATTATTCTTTATTATAATGTTCCATTACCTAGAAAACTTGAGATGAAAGAAAATCCTCCTTCACATTGACTAATAACTGATTGATCTCCACACACTTCTCTATCGTTCTAATTTTCCCTTACTCCAGAATTACACTCTAAATGATTACAACCCCACTTAAACAACTCCTACGTATTTTCAAAGATAATCTGAGTAGAATTATAATCTCAAGGACCTTTAAAGATCGCAGCTATTCCAAGGTTTTGAGATATGATACATGAAAATTTTAGGTATAGTACCAGAGTCAGAGTATTTTAACAGTGGAAGCAGACTTGGAAAACTGCGCACGCAGTGTAGCGTCTTTGTTTTAAACATATGGAGACTAAGACCCCGAAAGGCTGTACCGTCTAGGACAAGGAGATATACATTTGCACGTATACACATACATACTAGGGTACTCCAAAAAAAAAAAAAAAAAAAAATCACGGAAAGATTCATATTATCTTTTAATTCTATTTTTCCACGAACTTTTTGAAGTACTCTCTGTATACTCATATATGGGGTTAATTTTGCTCAGAATTTTAGAAAGGACATTCAGATGGATTATCACAGGTCCGAATTAAAGGACTCTTGGACAAAGCTAAGCCGTTTTTGCAACAGTTGGTCCTTTTCAATTACCTTAATATTTTTCATCTTAAAGGAAATCTTTACGTCAAACACAATGATTTTATCTCCTTGTTGTGGATCATTTTGTATTGTCAAAATCCGTGATCTCAAAAAAGTTACATTTTCCCACTACGGTGTTCCCACCATCGAAAGGACCCCGGGGTCGATGGGGAAGGGGCCGTGCAGGACCCTCGCGCCGCACCCATTCTGATGCGGGGAAGGGCGGCGGGGAATAGACAGAGACGGCCGCGACCAGACAATGTCCTGCATTCTCCGCGGCCTCGGCCAATCACAGGCCGGCGCCTCCCGGCCCCACGCGGCGCCACCGGCCACCGCTCCAGCCGGAGGGAAGCCTGGCGTTGGGG